CACCCTGACAGGGATCACAACAAAGAGTCCCAGACAGAGCAGGAGAAAAATGTAGAACAGAATTCAAATTCACATAAAAAGACCAGACTTACTGATCTGACAGAGACTAGAGGAACCCCCGAAACTATGGCCCTGGACACGCTGCTAACACAGACCTGAAACCATTCCCAAAGCCCACTTTTCATACTAAGATTAGACAGGCCTATAAAACAAACAATAATACATGTGAGGAACATGCTTCTTAGTTCAATCAAATATACAAGACTAAATGGGCAGCTCCTGTACAAAAGCAGGATGAGAAGGCAGGAAGGGACAGGAACTGGATGAATGGATACAGGGAACCCAGGGTGGAAAGGGGGAGTGTGCTGTCACATTGTGGAGACTGTAACCAATGTCACGAAACAATATGTGTATAAATTTTTGAATGAGAAATTAACTTGAGCTGTAAACTTTCACCTAAAGCACAATTAAAAAAAAGAAAAAAAGAAAAAGATGATGGAGTTAAAAGAGGGGGAAGGAATAAGTAATATAAAATAGCTGCTATAGTCCCTGAGTCTAACTGGTCATGAGGATGGATGTCGAGGGGCAAGAGGGATAGACTGTATCATTCCTTGTGGATCCCCTACAGCCATCCCACTTACTCCCACATACCATTTTAAATAAATCCTTATGGAATTATTAAAATAAAATAAAAAAAAAAGGATTCTGGTACTTTCAGGCATTTGGGCTACCCACGTCTTTGCCACTGAGTCAAAACATATCAGTTTAATTACATATACCACTGCCTAATGACTAATAAAGATACCTGGTGGTGCAGTGGTTAAGCACTTGGCTGCTAACCAAACTCGGTGGTTTGAACTCACCAGCAGCTCTGCAGGAGAAAAGACCTGGAGATCTGCTCCTGTAAAGATTACAGCCTGGGAAACCCTATGGGGCAGTTCTACTCTGTCACATGGGGTTGCTATGAGTTGCAATCGACTCAACGGCACACGATAATAGCAACATGTGTGTATATATATATATACACACACGTGTACATATATATAAACATATATACATATGTACTTTTTAAAGACAGACAAAAGCAAACTTCTTTCCATGTACAGAGACTGGTATAAGAAGTATCAACAAAGACATTTCTTTAAAAAGATTTTGTTTCTAGATTTAAAGCACCCTTATCAATTAGTGACAATTATAACCCACACTTTATGGGATAAATGAAAAGAGTCTGAAGATGGGTCAATGCTCTTGCTGCCTAAATATGTTCTTGCTCTGAAAAACTGACTATGCATTATACTTTAACAGAGGACTCCATTCTCCTCCATTCTCCTCCATTCTGATAGTGCTGACTATTATAATAAATGGACCACAGTCACCTAGTCTTACCAACAGGGCTGCTTTGCCCCTCACATTTGCCTAAAGTCCTCTGCTTCGAGCTGTAGGTCAGAAATTGAGTCTTCTGAAAGAAACATCAAAAGAATGATAGCCTCAGTAAAGGACTGTAGCAGATACGCTTGGCTCTTTATACTTCAAGGACTAGACTAATGGGGACAGGCTTCCAGCTGACATCATCGCCATGACTGGACACTGCCAGAGGCCAGGCAGGATCTAATAGTCTTTAGTGCAGAGGGAGACAACTTTGTAAAGTGGACTAACTACCCCAAGGTCCGCAGAGCAGGAACTATTACTTATGATTGGGTGAAACCGATTAATGTTCTATTCTCTACAGGACATACGAGGAAATTCTTCTTTTCCCCCAATCTATCTCTAATCCCCAATTTGTTGTCTGTTGTTGTTAGGTGCTGCTGACTCATAGCAAACCCATGTGACAGAGTACAATTGTCCCATAGGGTTTTCTAGGCTGTAATCTTTACGAGAACAGATTGCCAGGTCTTTCTTCTGCAGAGTTGCTGGGCCAAACTTTCCGTGAGCAGCCAGTGTTGTGCCACCAGGGCTCCTTAATCCTCAACTTAGGAGGCTATATTTATATAAATTGGAATAAAATATTCCTTACATGGTGCCTTGTTGCAACTATCCCTTTAGAATTCTGGGGCAAAAAAAAAAAAAAAAAAAAGCCCATGAACATTTAATATAGATACAAATATCAAGGAAACATTAAAATAATAATTCTATTGAAAATAACATATAATTGGCCTGATCTACAAAACTACTCAGAACAATTGCTAAAAAATATTCACAGCACCTTTCCCGAGACATTTTTCTTTTTATGACTGTTAGTTATGCAAGTAGGTTCAGTAAGAATCTGTCCCCTTTCCTAACAGGATATAGTTGGGCAAATCAAATTTGTAACCATGACCATACCACAAATGTCACATTTAAAGACAACTCTCACTTAATGAGGCATGACAAGCCTGATAGTGAAAAACAAGGACTGTACTTCACATATGGAAATGAGGCCTTCCCAGTCCTCCAGAAACGGGACTGATCTGTTCAACGGCTGGTGAAACCCCAGTCTTGCAGGTGATTGAAAAAAAAAAGAGCCAAGTCCTGCTAGTCCAGGAACACTGACAAGCTTGGGAACCCCCAAAAAGAAGATACGCTTTTCCATTACCGGTTGTATGAGCACAACCTGGCAGAGGTGAACTGGATGGTTCTAGGTTCCTGATCTCAGAAATATAAGACAATAAAAATAGTTCTAAAACTTAAAAAAAAAAGTTAAAATGATGACACAGATGCTTTCCAAACCCTACTGACAGAAGTTAACCCTCCAGCCTTCAGATTGCATGCTCTAGTTAAGATAACCATGCAACCACAGAGGATTTGCTTTATTAATTTATTAACTGACATACTCATGTACTTAAAACTGGCCAAAGGTTTTCAAAAAATGAAATGGCAAAATCAGAAAACTGCTGAAACAAATTGGTGCCGCAGGAGGTGTGGGGATGAGAAAATAGGCGGATATCCTGCCCTGGTCCCATCTGTTTACTATCAAACCTACACATCATGCCCATAGTCAGAGAAATAAACAAAACATTTTGCACCCTGGGGTAAAGCAAACAAAGGCAATGGATAAACGAATAAATAACAACAACTACAAAAACCCCAAACAAATAAAAAATAGGGTCAGTCCATCTAGCACTGTTGTTGTCAGCTGCTGTCAGTCCCCAACTCATGGCGACCCCATGCACAACGGAATGAACTGCTGCCCTGTCTTAGGCCATCTTCATGATCGGTTGTAGATCAGACTGTTGTGATCCACAGGGTTTTCACTGGCTGATTTTCAGCAGTAGATCACTAGGTCTTTCTTCGTAGTCTGTCTTAGTCTGGAAGCTCTGCTGAGACCTGTTTAGCATCATTGTAACGTGTAAGTCTCCACTGATAAGACAGGTGGTGGCTGTGCTTGAGGTGCATTGGCCAGAAATCGAACCTGGGTCTTCTGCATGGTCCCCAAAATAAATAAAACCTGGAGCCCTTTCCTATAAGTTGTAAACCCACACAGCAAAAAAATCAGCTTTATCCCTGATTTTTACATTGCTGATACTGGCAAACATGTGTCAGTGCTTACAGATACAACAACCAGGTAAGAAAACCACTGTTTTTCTCCCTAGTTAAACTGAGAAACTGTGATCTTGGTAACCTCCGGTTTGTTTCTTTAAACACCTGTGTTTATTTGGTTAGCCAGTCTTTCTGAAGTCTATACTCCCCTGCAAAACTTAGCAAGTAGATTACTTTTCTTTCCTTAAAGCATTTGTATCTTTGAACTGCCCACTCACACACTAGACCGTAAACTGCATGAGGGCAGGATTTTTGTCTGTTTTGTTCATTGCTATATCCCCAGCATCTAGAATTGGGTCCAGCATATAGTATAAAAAAAAGTAACAGTTGCCATCAAGCCGATTCTGACTCATGGCAACCCCATGTGTTGCAGAGCAGAACTGTGTTCCACAGGGTTTTCAACGGCTATGATCTTATGGAAATAGATCACCAGGACTTTCTTCTGAGGTGCCCCTGGGTAGACTCCAAGCACCAATCTTTCAGTTAGTGGCTGGGCACATTACCGTCTGTACCACCAAGGGATTCCTAACATATAGTATACAAAAAAAAAAAAAACCCCAAATCCATTGTCACTGAGTCAATTCCAACTCATAGAGATCGTATACGACAGAGGAGAACTGCTCCATAGAGTTTCCAAGGAGCAGCTGGTAGATTCAAACTGCCGACCTTTTGGTTAGCAGCCGAGCTCTTAACCACTGAGCCATGAGGGCTCCGACATATAGTATAATAAACCAAAAAAACCAAACCCGTTGCTATCGAGTCAATTCTGACTCATAGGGACCCTACAGGGAAGAGTAGAACTGCCCCACAGGATTTCCAAGGAGTGGCTGGTGGATTCAAACTGTCAGTCTTTTGGTTAGCAGCCATAGCTTGCTGTAGTTCTTAACCCCTGCACCACCAGGGCTCAGACAGGCTCTGTAAATATCCATTAGTTATATACTTTATAAAAGTTAGTCCCATTTATTCCACAAATGTTTAACAAATGCTTAGATGTCTATTATGTGTCACACACTAGGGATGCGAAAATGGAGAAAACCAAGCCCTTGCCCTCAAAAGCTCCCAATACGATGGGGGCGGTGGACAAATAACCAGGTAAGTATCTGGCAGCCCACCACTGCTGTGACAGGGATGTACAGGGCCCGTGGAAACAGCTGGGGAGCCAGGGAGGGCTTTCTGGAGGAAGCTGGACTGAAAGATGAGTAGAAGGTGGCCAGAGAAACAGGGGAAAGGAGGGGGAGGGTGTTCCAGGTAAAGGACACAGCATGTGCAAAGACCTAGAGATGAGAAGCAGTGTGGCTGGAGGAGAGCGTGCAGCAGCGAGAGCTGAGGCCACTGAAAGGCCTCAACTGCCAAGCAAAGAAGTTTGTCTTCACCCTGAAGGTAATGGGCACCTAGAGAAGGTCCGTGCCCCTCCCATGATGCACCAGGCCACAGGAGCTGAGCTGAAACAGGCTGCTGGCGGGCAGCACAAGCAGGCCACTCACCTGGTGTGCTGCTGGAGGTGGGAGAGCTGTCGGAAGGACTTATCACAGTAGGAGCAGTGGTAGGGCTTGACGCCCAGGTGAATTCGCAGGTGCTGGGCCAGGTAGGAGGCGTTGGCAAAGGACTTGGAGCAGTGTGGGCACTTGTGGGGCTTGGCCTCTGTGTGCGACTTGGAGTGGATCTGCATCTCGGACTTGGTGAAGAAGGTCAGCGGGCACACCTTACACCTGTGGGACGAGAGGCAGGTTCACACCTGGGAGGATCCCCCCATCTTCTGCCTGCAAATCTCAGGGGAGACCTTCTACCTGCTCACATCAGAGAGACCTTGCACCTGGGACAGATCTTTCTTGAGCGGAGTCCAAGGGGACACAGGCCTGCCTGAGAAAGATAGGAGACAGGCTCCCAGCCTAGGCACCCTCCAATCTGCAGGAGAAAGCTCTTACACCTGGGGGCACACTTATGGCCAGCTTGGGGACAGGTTTACACCTCACAAGGGAGAAAAGGCCTCAGGATCCCAGTGAGGGTTTGCACAGAGCCAAACCCCAGATTCTGGAAGAGCGAGGAGCTCTAACATGCTTAGGAAGTGGTTCTCAACCCTGGCAGCTCATTAGAATCATCTGGGGGAGATTTGGCAAAAGAAAGGCCTGGCAATCTGCTTCAGTAAAGATCACAGCCAAGAAAACCCTATAGAGTAGTTCTACTCTGTAACACATGAGGTCGCCAGAGTCGGAATCAACTTGACAGTAACGGGTGTTTTGCTTTGCGGAGCTTTAAAATGCTACAGATGCTTGGGAGCCTCCGGATAAATTAAATCAAAACCTCTGGAGGCAGGGACTGGCACTGGCATTTTTTAGAAGGTCTTCGGTTGTAGTCAGGGCTGAAAACACTGCTTGGAGGAGGAAAAGGCCTCGCACAACACCAGGCCGTGATGGGTGCTGCCCCCGAGCGACAACACTGCAGGTCCTCGTAGCCCCAGGGCACCTCTGAAGAGCCCAGCTCTATTCCCCACCTCTCCAGGGCCTGGACTGTGGGAGGAGTTCACCAGGAGACCCCGCCCCTCTGGACTTTTGGCCCCACCTCAGTCCCCTGGGCCCCTCTTCCAGGCCTGACTGCTGGGCTGGGGCAGCCATCGGCTCTCTGCTTGCAACCCTGGCCTAAGGCCACCCCTCCCACCCAGGATCCCACCTGTAAGTCTTGCCCTCCTTGGCGGTCTCGCCTGAGGCCAGGATGGGGTAGGGGACGACGAGGACAGGAGGCCCCCCTGGGTTCTCCGCCTTGATCTTTTTGCGGCCGCGCTCGGACTTCGGGGGGCCAAGCAGGCCGTGGCCCTGGATTGTCTTGATGGAGTCCAGGAGGGGGGGGCTGGTGATCCCTGAGATGAGGGTGGGGGACGAGGCGATGAGGCGGCTCTGGCTGGTGGTGGTGGGTGTGGACGGGGTGCTGGTACCCGTGCCCGTGTTCGACTCAGACGTGCTCACGGCCGGGGTCCTGGAGGAGAGCCCCAGACCTATGAAGACACCAGGGGGAGGAGACGGCTGAGGGCCAGCTGCAGAGGCCAGCTCGGGCCTGACCACCCCTCCCCAGCTGTGTGGCCCTGGCACCATTCATAAGTTATTACCCAGGGAAAACTAAACGAGAGAGCTGTGTATGCGGAAGGTGCTTTAGATACCTTAGAACCGCACTGAATTAGGCAACAGGGGCACTTTGGAAATAATTCAAACAACAGAAAAAGACTGAGGCACAAAGATGTTCACTGCTGTGTTATTTATAATAGAAAAGAATTAGAGGCAACTGAAATGTACATTAGGGAAAGGTTCAGTAGTGATCAATCTCCTCTACAGAACCGCCCAGTAAAAAGGAGGTTATGTTTTTTAAAAACGCATGTTTGTCAGAAAAAAAAAAAGGAGGACCTGCACCAAAATGTGATGTGGGTGGTGAAACTAGGAGTAATTAAAAAAAAAAAAAAAATTTTTTTTTTTGGTTTAATTGTGCTTTCTCTGATCCTTTGACGATTAACTTTTTTTTACTTCTGTAATAAGAGGGATTTGAGGAGCTTTGTTGTTGTTGCTGTTTTGTTTTTAATGAGGGGAGTAGAAGCATATTTACAACACCAGGTTAAGTAGGAAAAAAGGAAAGGGAAGTTGAAAATGGTATCTAGCTTGTGGTTAAAATCATATTTTTTAAAAAAGAAACAAAAAATCTGTGCACTGAAAAAGATAACACCCAGGGTTTGCAGGAGGATGTTTTAAAGAAATAAGCACCATCATACACTGTTGGTGGAAAGCACACACTTGTGCAACCTTAAAAAAAACTGTCGAGTCGATTCTGACTCATAGCCAATCCGGCAATCGCCATCAAAATTTAAAATGTATCTAACTTTTGACCAAGGAATTCTACTTCTAGAAATCTACTATATAAAGAAATATTCACATATGAGTACAAAGATCCGCGTACCCGGATCTTCCAGACAAAACTGTGATCAGACAATATTGAACACAACCCTTTTTTCCTCAGTAAAATAAAAACCCAGTTGCCATCAAGTCAATTCTGAATCATGGCAACCACATGTGTTGCAGACAGAACTGCATTCCATAGGGTTTTCCTGGCTGTGACCTTTTGGAAGCAGATCGCCAGGCCTTTCTTCTGAAGTGCCTCTGTGTGGGTTCCAACTACTGACCTTTTGGTTAGTAGTTGAGCGCTTAACTGTTTGCGCCACTCAAGGACTTCTCCCCAATAGGGGGTGTGTAAACAGATGTGGTCTACCCTCAATATAGAGGACTTTACAGCCACGAAAACAAAATAGACATAGTGAAGTGACAGAGAAAGAATTCCACAATGTGCTGTCAAGTAAAAAAAGGAAATCACGGACAGTATGAACCCATTTATTCAAACGCACACACAAACCGCACATGTATACATGGACAAGATGGGTATGTGTGGATGTACAAGAAGAGATCTGAGAAGAGACACAGCAAACTGCTAATCGTGGTTCTCTCTAGGGAGGGAGAAGAATTTTTTGGTAAAGGAAGAATTTTCATATTTTTATTTATATGCTTCTATATTATCTGGATCTTTTACCTGGTGAATTCATCCATTTTTTACATCTGTGATTAAAGGATAAAATAAAATAAATTATGGAGAAAACATATAAAAATGCTAACAATAGTAGGACTAGGGCTAATTTTTTCTCCTTCCAGGTTGTCTACAGTTTCTAAATTTTCTGTAATGACTATGTATTACCTTTATATAAAAAATATAACAAATACGTTTATGATAAAATGGCAAGTAGGAAAATCAAGTTAAAGTCATGCATATAGCCACCACAAAACACATATACATATTAAAAAAAAAAAGACGGAAAAGGAAGGAAATGGACCAAAAGTCTCTCTGAGCTACTGGGTTAGGAGCTGGGGATTATGAGTGGCTTTTTTTTTTCCCCCTCCGTTTTTCTTTTTTCCACATTTCCCTTAATATGCTTATATTACTTTTATAATGAAAAAAATAAATTTAATAAAGTCATAACAGGGGAATGTGCAGAGTACAGCTGGGGCCTGAGGGAGGCTCACCAGGCCTCATAATTCTCAGGCATCTCAGTGAGAAGGCAGGCGGAAGGGAAGCTGGTGGGAGAGGGTGAGCCAGAGGGGGAACAAAGCCCCAGCTGCAATGGCCTCTGGAGAAGGCCTCTCCAGCAGGCTCTGAGGTGGGTAACAGTCAGCTCCAGCCCCTGGACACTGCCCCAGGATGTCCCCTTGGCACCCCAGCCTCAACCTGTACAAAACTGAGCTCTCGTCTTCCCCCACCTCATTCCTCCCACAGTGATCCCATCTCAGTAGCCCTGTCCACTGCCAAGGCCAGAAACCTGGGAGTCTCCCTCGCCTCCTCCCACTCCTCAAGCCCCTACATTCAGTCCAGCACCAAGCCCTCCCCACTCTTCTTCCTCAGTGTCCCTCACATCTGTCCACTTCTCTCCCTCCCTGCTGCCACTGCCTCATCCAGGCCACTATCATCTCCTGCAGGTCTCCCTGCCTCCATGCTTGTCCCCTGCCATCCCAGTCTCCATCCTGCAGCCAGATTCAAGATTTTTAAACCCCAATCCCATCATTTCCCTCCCTACTGAAAAAAAAACCTTCAATGGCTCACCTCTGCCAGAGGGTGAAGTCCAAACTGGTGTGCCCCACCAAAAGACCAAACCCATTGCCGTCCAGTCAATATTGACTCATAGCGACCCTATAGGACAGAGTTGAACTGCCCCATAGGGTTTCCAAGGCTGTAATCTTTACAGAAGCAGATTGCCACATCTTTGTCCCATGGAGCAGCTGGTAGGTTCAAACCACCCACCTTTCGGTTAGCAGCTGAGTGCTTAACCATTGTGCCACCAGGGCTCCTTAGTGTGCCCCACAAGGCCCTTCATAATCTGGTGCCTGCTTCCTCTGTAGCCTCAGCAGAACCACGTATAGCAAAAGGGTTGTTAAGACATGGGCTCTGGAACCCCACTGCCTGAATGCCTCTCACTAGCTGTGAAACCATGGTTTCACCTGACTCTACCTTTCTCTGCCTCTGTTCTTCATCTGTTAAATGGAGACATTAGGTCGAACTGAATAAAACTGCTGCTTTTGTAAGTCAAAAACTGTCCATGGTTTAACCTTATCTAACAGGGCTGCTGGGAGTAATAAACGAATACTGGTAAAAACATACAGGTGCACAACTAGAATTAGCTGCTGTTGTTATTATCTTTTGACCCTCCCAGCCAAAAAGGCTGTCCTACTCTTGCTTTCCACATATACTCCCTTTGCACATGCTGTCCCCTCTTCCTGTTCCATTTCCCTGGTTTCACTCCAACCTTTCCTTGCATATAGGCTCCTCCAAGAAGTCTTCCCTCAACCCCCAAGTCTGGTCAAGGTTCTTTTCTGGATTCCTAAAGTTCTCTAAGTTGACTTGGCTTTACTAGTGTACCTGAACTCTCAGCAGGCATTGACTGGTCCCCGGCTCGTCCACTGGGTGAGGTCTCCCAGTTCAGAGTCGGAGGAAATCTGGTGGCTGTAGCCACCCTGAGCTACCGCTAGTCTTTGCCGGTCCTGCTCCTCCTCTGCCCATCGTTTACCTAGCCGGATCCTATCCTCCCTAAGCCTTCCCACCCAGGCCCACCCCATTCAGCCTCTGCCCAGGGCCCCCCACCCACTGCGCCCCAATCTCTACCCATCTACCACCCAGTCTTCACCCAGCCCCACCTCTAAGGCCGTTCCCGTGTCCCCCCAAAGCCCCGCCCGGTTCCCGCCCATTTCCCAGCCCCGCCCAGTCTCGGTCTGGTACCCAAGCCCCTCCCGTTCTCCCCGCCCGGCCCTACCTGTGACGGTGCTGGTGGCTGGCCGCGCGTGCAGCGCCACGTCGGGCTGCGGCACTGCCTGCGGGTGCAGCCCGGGCACCTGCTGCAGCTTGGGCAGCGACATGACGGCCTGGCTGCTCTCGGCGGGCGCCGGCGGCACCAGCAGCGGTTGCTGCGACGACGCCGACGTGGGCGGCAGGTGCGGTGGCCGGATCTTCTCCGCCATCAGCTGCTCCTTGATCTTGTTAATCAGGACCAGGTTGTCCAGCTGCGGGTAGGAGAAAAGAGGGACTGAGGGGGCTTGGGCCGCACTCGGCCCTTCCCCGGCCCGCCGGTCCACCCGCAGGCCGCAGCCAAAGCCAGGGGCAAAGGGTAGCAGCTCCAGTAGGGGTTGGGCAGGAGGGATGACGCTCGGTCTTACCTGGCTGGGCATGGTGGGAGGAGGGGGCCAGAAGTAGGGGTTGTTAAATCGAGGCTCGGCCATCCTGCGGGGAGAGAGCGACTGTCACAGGGAAGCGAGCCCTCCCCACCGGCCTGGGGCAAGCTCCCGTCAGCTACGCCCACTCAAGTCTGGGCCAGTGTCCGGGATCCCTGCCCCCGTGGGACCCTCAGCCCCGCAGCAGAACAGGCCTCCCACCAGGTCCGGGGAACCACATCTCCAGGCTGAAAAGTCTGGAATTCAGTGTCTCCCTCAGTGGGTGCCGGAAGGCAAAGGTCACCTCCAGGCCAGAGTGCTCCCAGCCCCCCATCATTCTGATGCTGGCTGACCAATTCCCATCGCCCAGGACGACCTTAAACTTCAGAGCCAACCCCATGGACCCATGGATTCCACACAAAAGCTTCCCACCCAGAGAAAAATGGGGGAGTCCTGGAGGCAACTTTGTAAATGGCCACAGAGCAGAGGCAACTGCCCTTCCTGGTTCCTCCCCTCCTGACTGCTGCCCTTCAAGTACAAACATCCTCATCACAACACAGGGGGCCACTCTGGGTCACCAGATACAACCTTTCGGAAGGGCAATTTGGCAGGATGATTTACAGAGCCCTAAATGATCACTGCCCTTCAACCCAAGAAATTGTACTTCAGGAAAGTTATCCTCTAGAAATAAGCAAGGACATATGCAGCATTTCACTTGCAGGGATGTGCATTAGAACACTGTGCTTAAAGAGGGGCTGGAGGAGGCCTGAAGCAAGGGAAGTTTGAGGCTCCTTAATAAAGGTGTGTGACAAAGTGTGTGACTGTCCAGTGGCCTTCACTTCTGGCAAGTTCTGTGGCAGACCTGTGCAGTTAGAAGGCCTTTTCAACCAGGGCAGTATCAAGGATGGGCCTTCAGAGCTATCTCAGTCTTCCTGAGGGTTTGAGTCTGCCTGTGACCCTAGAATAAGTCAAGAAATGACTTACAGGGACCATGACATTAAGTCATGCTCCCTATAAATTTCTTATTTATCCCTCTCTTACAGAAACTGCTCACCTAACTGGTATTGTTGCTTATATGAAATCATTTATTTTGACAGGAAAGGCCAAAATAAATGTCTTCAACCTCTTTTCCTGGTCCCTACTAGAATTCCAGGCAGAGTGTTTCAGGAGAAAACACTCAATAAGGACACAACCAACGTAATCTCAATGCTTTAAGAAAGAATCTTTGTATGAATTATCTCCTGTGATCTTTATTTGAAAAGTAGGCACAGGAGAAATTATTATTATCCCATTTTATAGATGAAGAAACTGAGGCCTAGAGGAAGAAGAAAAGATCTGACCAAAACCACAAGGTTAGCTGCCACAGAGTCAAGCTAGAATTCAGATTTGCTCAAGCTGGTTCATTTGGGGAATTTGCTTTGCAAACCCTAACCCCAGTCCTGGGTTGAGCAAATACGCACATGCAAATCAATCAGTGCCTGTATGCAAAAGACCTTGTCACTCACTCCCAGCCTGGGGGATGATTTAGGTCTGCGCTGGCCAGGCTAGGGGTCAGCATATCCTCCTCGGGGGCAGTTGGGCAGCCCCTGCTCTCTAACAGCCCTCCCACTCCCATCACACACAGGCATCAAGGATGCCTTTCCTTCTGCCCGTCCGTTACTGTCCAACACAAGAAGCACCTTCTGCCTGGAGCTCTCCCTGACTGCCCAAGGCCCCTGGGACTTCTTTCTCAGAAAAGCTTCAAAACAAAAATCATGATGGGACAGAGATTTTCCGAGTGCCTATCCTTGTGCCAGGCACACTGCCACTGGAAGGCAGTACTCTCATCATCCCCATTTTGTGAATGGGGAAAGTGAAGTTCAGAGAGATGGAGTGACTTGCTCATGGTCACACAGCAAGTAAGCAGAGGGCTGAGATTCCCACTCTAATCCACCTGACTCTGAAATCCAGCTCGTCAGTCCCTTAGCTGTCCAGGGGAACGAGACAGCCTCCTGACTATGGGCTTGTGAATATGCCCTGCCTTAGGACAGCACAGTGCAACCCCTCTGATAGGCGCCTCTCACCCAGCAGCCTCAGGACTTGTCCCAACCCTGCTCTTGGACTGGGCTGTAAAGCCAGGGGGAGAGAAGGCTCCAGACAGGGAGCAAGGGGAGCTGGGGAACAGCCCCAGAAGAGTTTGAGAATTAGATGCCTGTTGGATTCATCTCAGTGTCCCCAGGACCCAGGCCCAGACATTATCAATAACATGAGTTGCATGATGAAATGAATACGTAAATGAAGGAGTAATAATAATCAGAATCATTTTAAACACAATCTTACACAATCATCTAGCACTGCTGCCAGTTTACAAAGCTCTTCTCTGCCCACTGTCATTCTTATCAGGGCCCCAGGAGGATGGGAAGCAGGGAAGAACGTTAGAATGTTCACCCCCATATCACAGAGCAAGAAATAGGGCACCAGGATGGGGGCATCTTGCTCCAGGCCACACAGATGGGAAGCAGAATGCTGGGCACTGGCTCTCAGCCTCAGTTTTCCTCATCTGTAAAATGGGGGTGAGACAGGCTGCCCTGGCCCAGGACTCTGCTCACTGTACCTGGCTATTCCTCAGACAATTCTGGGGGAGCCATTTTCTCCTCCTTCTCTACAGTTCAATGCCAAGTTCAGGCTTCCCAGGGCACCCACCCTGGACAGGGAGATGTAGGAAAGCGGGAGGCTTGCCCGTGGCCCCACAGCTGGGATACAGCATCCTCTCTGCCTCTATCAGGCCCCCGTGGTCAGACAGCAGGGACCACCCTTCACCACATGAACTGGTCACTTCATCTGCCCCATATAGCCTCTGCCTGATTTCTCTGTATCCTTCTCTGGCTGGTCTTCAGTAATTTAGTGATTCAGCCAGTGACCCAGCCCCTGGTGTATACCTACTGTGTGCCAGTTGTGGGGGTGGCATGGTAAGGGGTGAACATTTACTGAGCTCTTAGTGAGCTCAGACTCCTTGCTAGGTGCCTATAAATAGTATCTCATTGGAGCCCCCCAACAAGCCTGTGAGGTGAGTACCCATCTGTGCAACCTGCACGAGAGAGGGTGGGCCATGGCAAGAGGCGAGGTGGGAAGGTGGCCAGGGCCAGGCTAGGCACTCAGACTTTGTCTTGAGGGAGGGGTTTTAAGCAGGAGAGATACATGGTCAGATGTCTGTTTAGGAAAGGTGGCTGGAGCCAAAGGTCAGTCCAGACAGAGGCAACCACAGGAGCCAAGGCATGGAGGCAGGTTTCGGACAATGAGCAGCCACCCACAGGCACCCAGGGGAGAACCTGAGGGGTGAGGTGGTGAGACACAGAGGCCAGCCGGCAAGGCCTTGAATGTCGGGCTAAGATACTGGGGTACAATGCTGGCGAGACAGGCATCAGGGGACTGCCGGGCCAGGAGGCAATGAGGCAGACTGGGCAGGGCCTCAGGCACCAGGCAAAAGCCAAGGGACTCTACGCTGTAAACCCCGAAATGACAGCCCTGATCCTTACAGTGGGGCAAACAAGCTGTCATTTTGTTTCTCTGGCTCCAAAAGGTGGGAAAAATTGGAAGGGTGGGTGAACAAATGAAAACACCTCCCAGAACTGGCTATGAAAACAGCATCATCCTGGCAGCTGACCCACCCATCCATCTGTCCATCCATTCGTCTGGACACATCCTCTGGGCCAAATTGGGGCCAGTGCCAGGGAACCCGAGGCACATGGGACAAGCCCTGTCCTCTGGGAGCCCCCAGCTAAGCAGAGGAAGCAGACGCTGACTCATGAGCTTCTACAAGAAAGAATACCCCCCAGTGAGACCTGCCACAAGCCACCAATGACCTCCGTGTGGTCAAAGCCGATGGGCCACCTGCCACTCGGGTCCTCTGAGAAGCTCTGTGAGCCATGACCCTGGGTTCCTCCTCCTCTCTGGCTTCATCTTCCCTCTACCCACCATGGGTTGGGCACCCCAGGGTCAGGCAGGGGCCTTTTCTCTCCAGGATGGCCTCGGTCCCTGGCTGGCCCATCCACTCTAGGACTTTAAATGCCAGCTAACTCCCTTATCTCCACCTCCAGCCCAGGCCTCTCCCTGGAGCTCCAGGCCCAGCTCTCCCAACTACCTCCCTGTCCCCTCCACTCGGCTGTTGCACGGGCTGCTCAGACTCAGCAGGCCTAACTGGCCTTGGTCGTTCCCTAAGCCGTGCACCTCCTCTAGACGCCCCCAGCTCTGAGCGGGGCATCTCCATCTACCAGATGCTCCCGCCAGACACTGGAGTGACCACAACATCTGTCCTCCCTCCTGTCCCACCTCGGATCCACCAATACCCGCATCCTCAGGATCCCATTTCCAAAACCTCTCTCAAACCCACCCACTCCTTTCCTCTCCACAGTCACCTGGACTATGGAATAGGCTGCTTTATTTGGAGCTCAACACACCACGTTCAAATCTTGGCTCCAACTCACCAGCTGTGTGATCTTGGGCAAGTCACTTGCTCCTGCCCCCCAAGTAAGGAACAAGCAGCCAGAGCCAGGGACCTGACCCAGCCTGGAAAGAAGGGACCAGGGAGGACTTCCCAGGGGAGGTGATGCCTGCCTTGGGTCTTAAAGGATGAGTGGGAGTTAGCCAGGCAAAGACGGAGTGGGGAGCATTCCCGCAGAAGCAACAGCTTGAGCAAAGGGCCAGAGGAGAAAAGCAACACAGTATATCAGGGGAGCTACAGGCATTCCGGTGTTGACTGGGAAACGGGAGACGAACCTGGAGCCATCAGCCAGAGAAGACCTAGAAGGTGGGTCCCTGAATCCTAGGTCTGAAGCCTGGACTTGAAGCAGGGGGTAATGAGATAGAATTTGTGGTTTAGAAAGACCCCTCTGACTGCTGGGTGTAGAAGGGGTTAGAGAGACCAGGAGAGGAGGCAGCAGGAATATGCCACTAGGAGGCCCCGTAAGATGGAGGTGAGAGGCAGGGGCTGCACCTGGGCCAGGGGGAGAGAGACCAAGGATGCAGAGGCACAAGGCCTGGTCAGAGCTGGTGGCCAAGGAAGCGTGTGCAGGTTGCCCCCTGCGGCGTGGCCCGGGAGGTCCCCTGGATACCCACGTGGACAAACACAGCCACAGGAACATGCAGACGGACAGCACATGACAGACACAGACCTGGGGCCCAAACATGGACAAATGGGGATGCAGCAACCCCCATGAGCAGGAACCCACAGCCACCAGGACATAGGAGACACAGACGGATGCCATTACAGGAGGGTGGGCTTACACCTCCCCCAGGGTGGTCCCAGAGACCCTTCGCTGCCCCCAGCCAAGCCTGCCAGCTTCTGCTGCAGGCAGTGAGGGGGCACTCAGGGAAGGTGATGAACACAATGCTTTGATCCCCCAAAGAACAAGCCCCTCATTGACAAACTTTAACCTGGAATCACAGGCTCCTTACCTAGAGTGTCCTTTCCCACTTGGTGAACTTCTACTCATCCTTCAAGACCCAGCTCAAGTGTTCCCTCTTCTACGGAGCTTTCCCTGAACCCCCAGTCAGTCACTTCCTCTGTGTTCCCAACAGCACCTTGTATATGGGAATAATAATAACAATAATAATAATAAAATGGCAGCTACCATTGATTTCAACATTTACTATGTGCCAGGCACTGTACTGAGGTATGTCATATGCATTATGTCACTGAATCTTTCCGATGACTCAGGGAGATACACATTTAATGGAAGAGGAAACTGCAGCTCAGAGAGGTTGACCAACTTGCCCAAAGTCACACAGCTAACAAGTGATGGAGTCAGGACGCCACCCATGTCTGATACAGCACTACAGGGCCAATCGCACTCTGGTGCAAATATCTATTTTCCTGGGTGTCTTCTCCACCAGATTTTGTGCTCTTCATAGGTGGGGTTAGTGATCCCTCACCTCTGTCATTTCCAGCATCTAGCCCAAGGTGGTCTCAGAAACTCTTTGCAAAATGAAAAAGTACAATAATATCAACTACCTCTTCTTGAGCACTTACAATGAGCAAGGACATAATTATGGAACTACATCCATAATTTTACTGTTACAATAGACCCATTGTACAGATGAGGAAACTGAGGTCCAGAGAAGTTAAGTAATTTGTCTGAGGTCACAGAGCTGAGTCTGGATTTGAAAACAGGTCTGTCTCCCAGGAGGGTGGCCTCTAAGGCCAGCCCGACAAGCTCCACAAAGGTGCACTGGGATGGGGTGGACACCAGGTACCAGGTCCTGTGGCCTGGGGAGGTTCAGACCTGGACAAATGGACACAGAGAAGACATGCACCCCAGGATGGAATGGGACTAGGCTAGCCCACTGCAAGGCAGAGAGGTGCAGTTAAGCAACTGACGTCCTGGACTATCCCACAGACATTAAATATGAGATCTGTCCAGAGCCCATGGCCACATGGGAACTATCTCCCAACAAAGCGAACAGGAGACAGCGGGACCCAAAACTGCCCAGACACTGTGATTACAGGGAGGCAAAAATAAAAACCTGCGTCAGAAAAAGAAAGCTGCAGGAAGCCACGCCCGGAGGGAGGCTGGGAGTGCTGGGGGAGGCAGCTGGGGCTGATCTGCTTTTTGTCTTTGTTCTCTGATTTCCAAATTCTCTGTAATGCAGTTCAGTTACTTTTATAATGAAAACAATAGATTTATTCTTAAAAAAGAAAGAAAGTGACTAGTAGCCCAAGGAGGGTCCAGGGAGGCACAGAGGAGCAGGAGGAGGTCAGGGTCAGCTGACGGCTGGCACTCAGTTGACCGCTGAATGCCAGGCCCTGCACAGTCCCTCCCCACTCAAGGCACATGTGACCTGAGGTTGGGGGGGTGTCAGGAAGGGCTGCCTGGAGGAGGTGACATTCAATCTCTACTTTGAAGCTGGTTAGGATTCCACAGGGTGGGGAAAAGAGAGGGTCTCCACCACCTTCCCTGCCTCAGTCCTGGTCCCCTTCATCTTTGGTCTTAGCTACTGCAAGAGCCTCCTCCCAGGTTTTCCCACTTCCCCTCTCAGCAACCATTCCATTCTCCTACTGCAATCACCGTGATCTCTGTAAAATGTGAATCACATCACAACTCTCCCCTGCTTAGAACCTTCCATGGCTCTCTATTTCCCTACAGAAAAGGTTTGGATTCCTTAGACTGCATGTTTGGCCCCTGCTGACTTCTTTGGCCTCATGGGTTGCTCCCGCCTCCCACTGTGCCTGGCCAAACGGAGTGTCCCAGTTCCTCAAATGCTCCACTTCCCTTCTCACTTCCTCACCTTCAGTCAGGCTGCCTTCTTCTCACGGAGCCCTCTGCCCTCCCCTATTCGCCTGGTTAACTCCTTATCCCTCGGGCCCCAACTTACAAGCCACTTTCTCCTGAGAGCCTTCCGGGCTGCTCCGCCTCTCCCACCTGGGCTGCACCAGGTGCCTCTTCCCTCTGCTCCCCGTGCCCCACATTTCCACCATCAGAGCATTCATCACTCTGCTTTCTGTCTGCTTTCTCAACCGTCTCTATGCTTAACATGAGTTTTGTCAGGGTAGTGTCATGACTGAGTTATTTGCTGTTTATGCCTCACACTGCCACCACCAGTTACCATCAAGTCAATCCCAACTCATGGCGACCCCACATGTGTAAGAGTACAACTACACTCCACAGGGTTTTCAACACCTGAGATTTAGGAAGTAGATCACCAGGCCCCTCTCCCAAGATGCCTCTGGGTGGACTGGAACAGCATTTCGTTTAGAAGCCAAGCACTTAACCGCGACTGCCACTCAGGGGCCTGCGGCCTGCACAGTGCCTGATAAATGTTTGAATGAATAAATGAACATTCTAGGTAGAGGGAATTGAAAATGTCATAGTATGGATAGAGGAAAGCCCTCTCCCTCTCCTCTGAGTCTCCTCCACTCACTCTTGTACTATGTTGTCCCCTGCATCACCCTGTTCCCTGTTCCCTATATCTAAGCTTTGTCTTCCTAATTGATCTGAGCAGGAACTGTGTATGGTAAAGACTAGCAAACTCAAAAAGTATGTTAACAGTTAATAAACACAGAAAATGGTTCAGCTTCTCTAGCAGTGAAAACTAAATGAGCTTCACCTGTAAAAATAGCAAAAATAAATAAGAAAATGATAATACCCAGTGTTGGTGAGGGTATGGTGAAATGGGCACTCTCATGCATTACTAGTGGGAGTGTAAATTGGAACAATCATTTCTGAAAGCAATCTGGCAATATGTGTCAAGAGCTCTAAAAATTTTCAGACCTTCTGGCCTAGTGATCCCATTCTTGCTCATCTATCCCTAGGAAATAACCCAAATATAGAAAAAGCTTTGTGCACAAAGCTTTATGCAGTTTTTTTCAGTGTTTTTTTTTTTACAATAGCTAAAACCTGGAACTGCCAAAATTTTAAACAATGGGGAGGATGGCTCTGTACATCATATTACACAGTGACATAATATCAATGGTTAATAATTTCCAGTGTTGACTGACATGGCAGTGTCTCATTAATACTCTTTTCAACTCTACAGGAAACCCTGGTGGCACAGTGGTTAAGAGTTCAGCTGCTCACCAAAAGGCTGGCAGTTTGAGTCTACCAGGTGCTTCCTGGAAACCCTGTGGCACAGTTCTACTCTGTCCTATAGGGTCGCTATGAGTCGGAATTGACTGGACAGCAATGTTTTTTTGTTTTTTTTGGTATCTACCCTACAAGAACTGAGGCACAGAGAGATTATGTAACTTGCCCAGAGTCAAGAAGTAAGTGCAGGGTTTGAACCCGGTCAGGCTCCAGAACCCATGCTCCTCACTCACTAGATTGATTAAAAAGGATTAAAAACCACTCTGCCGTCATTTAGAAAATACGTCTGATACAGCAATAGGAGGAAAGGCAAGACAAAAATTATATGTATCGACAGAGCATTGATGTTATTGTTGTTAGTTGTTGTCAGGTCTATTCTGACTCGTGGCAACCCCATGTGTTACAGAGGAGAACTGTTCCACGGGGTATTCTTGGCTATAATCTTAACAAAAGCAGATTGCTAGGTTTTTTCTTGCACAGTACAACTGGTTAGGTTCAAACTGCCAACCTTTAGGTTAGCAGTCGAGCACCAACCATTTGCGCCACCTAGGGACCTTTGAGCAATGATATTTATATGAAAACTGGGTGCTGAGGACAGGAAGGAAATACCAAAATGCTAACAGCTGGTGGTGCTTCAGGCTGAGGGGTGTTGTGTTGTGTGTATCAATTCCCTATTCTCTGATTTTTCTGCAGGGTGATTAGGTAACTCCTAAGGAATGTTTTAATAAAGTTAAAGGTTCAGCAAACTTGGGCCTAGCAAGTCACTACCCCCAAGCTCCCCCACCTTCCTACTCCAGCCCTAGTAGCCCACATGGGTTTCAGCCTCAAGCCCTGAAGGTGTGCCCAGGAGACAGGGCCTCAGAGAAGGGCAGAGGTTTGCTCAAACGCCCACAGCAAGCATCTAGCCCCACCCCAGACCCAGCCCAAGAGTAGTCAGGAAGGGACCCCATCTAGAGGGTACAGCTAGCTGGCATCACAGGAGAGAACCAGGCCAGGGGAAAGCCTGACCAGATCATTTACTTTCTCACTTAAAATCCCTCTTGGGTTCCTTTCACTTTTGGGGTGCAGTTCAAACTCCCAAGCAAAGGTACCCAGGGACCTTTGCTAAGGGGGCCCTGCCGACCACATTCATCCCAGCATGTATGTCCCCAAAGCACCCCTCACTCCAGCCTCACTATGCCACCTACAGCTCCCTCAAAGCAGGTTGCTCTCTCATGCTGTCACGCCTTGCACAGGGTGTGCCCACCACCTGGGCCACATGGCCCAGATGGACCCCTACCGGGTTCCCATCAATCAGCACAACTCAGCTCAGACATCACCACGTTGGGGGAAACTTCCTGATCATCACCCCCTCAAAGGCTATGTTCGCAGCAGCTCCTCTGAGCTCCCTGGATCCCACTGTCCTAGCATTGCCTGCTACTTGTCTGTCCAGTCTTCCAAGGAAACTGTGAGCTCCCAAAGAGCAGGGCCTTGCTCTGGTTCTTGGGTACACCTCCTCACCCCCACTTGGCCCCACAGCTCACCCAGCTCTTCTGCCAGGTCTCAGCTTAAAGGTCACCTTCAGATTCCAGTAGGAACTAGGCCTCCCTGTTATCTGCTCCCACAGCCCCCTGCATTTTCCCCATCCCACCTTTGTACTGCACCTCCAAATACTCCCTCCAGGTCCATCTCCCAGGGAGTCGTGACCCACGAGGACAGGGTCACACTGCAGCTCAGAGTCAAGTACCGGCCACAGAGTAGGTGCTCCAGTGCTTAGTCCATACTACTGACCCATTGCCTTCGAGTCGATTCCAACTCATAACTGCCCCATAGGGTTTCCAAGGAGTGGCTGGTGGATTCGAACTGCCAACCTTTTGGTTAGCAGCTGTAGCTCTTAACCACTGTGCCACCACGGCTCCAGTCCATAGTAGGTACTCAATAAGTATTCACTGAGCACATCACTGAGAGGAAGGGACTTCCCAGGGGGACTTTGGAGACTGAGAAGTTGGCCAGGAGAGCATTCCGAGCAGAGCAGCAGTGTGTGCAAAGGCATGGAAAACTGCTAGGCTTCCTGGGTGGCAAAGGTTTCTCAAACATGGCTCCCAGCCCAGAGAGAGGCAACAAGCTCTGGCAGGAGGAGGTGGAGGCAATGAGTGGTGTTCCCAGGAAGGTGAGCTTCACCCATTGAGGGATAAACAAAGACTTCTAGAAGGTGGGACTTACAGACGGGGGAAGCGGACATTTCAAGAGAGAGACGCCAGGGAAGGGTTCAGCAGGTGAAAGGGCTGCACGTGCAAAACGCAGAGGCAGCAAAGCATGCTCCTTTGGCGTGGGTAGAGGGGAAGAGCTTGCAGGGAAAGAAAGGAAAGGTAGCGGGAGCAGTTCATAAAGGGCCAGAGCTCCAGGCTGAGGCGTTGGCAGAAGAAAGGCCACGGGGAGCTGTGGGAGGTCCGTAAGCAGGGGAGGACCGGGTCAAGGTTTTTGTTGGACAGGCTATTACAGGGCCAGAAGGATGGCCTGTGGGAGGACAAGCAGGAGATGGCCTGAGAGAGAAGCTGAGGTTTCTCACCTT